ACAGGTTATGATTGCAGTTCTGTAAAGAAGCAGGAGAGGGTTTGGATTTGTGGAATTTGAGAGATTAAGTAACCAACGTTAGGATTTCTTTTATAAAACAAAAAATTCTGAGTCAGACAGGACTTCTGAAAACTACTGTTAAAATGAACAAGCAAAGACTGTAAGCCATCAACATTTCTGATTCCCTTTTACCAATATTTCTTATCTATTACTGTTTTCATTTTTGACGGCAGTTCAGGTATGAATAACAGGTGTTATTTCTTTTTTACAACGTAACAACACAAGAAGGATGCTGAAGATCTGCTATTTTTTGTTTTCCACATAAAAATAGTTCTATTTAATTCACTTCTACTTCTAGAAATAGGATAAAGACAAACAGAGGAACACTTTTTACATTGATTCTTTTTTTCTAGATTTCCACATGGTCCAAAAGAAAATTAGTATGAACATTGATGTCTGGTACATAATGCTTGAATCTAGCTGTTTATTTTGGATACTATTACATTACAGATAAGATAGTGTTATATTGTATTTTATGATTGTGAAAAATGATTTTATATTTGAATAAACTTAGGCTCATTCTTAGTGTTGTACTTTGTAGATGAAGCCACTAAAATAGACACAAGGAGCTATTTAAACAGTAAGACAGTAAGCAATATAGGATGATAAAAGGTTGCATAGGACCAAAGACATTAGTCCAATGAAACTGGAGACAAATAGTGTCCCTACCAAAGTGGAAATCAAACCTACGCTCCATGCAGAGGCTGTTTGAAGCCAAAGTAAATGGAGCCTGGATGGAGGGGGGCGAGGAGCTCATCCTACAGGTGATAGAGACGGAAACGCTGCTGAGCGAGGGGCAGGTGGGATCTGGCAGCATGCTTCGTCTCTATCACCTGCAGGATCAGCTCCCCTCTGCTTTGTACATTTTGACATTGTAGCTCATTTAACCAATCAAATTTGACTAACAAAGATAAGCTGTCACACCGTTCTCCATTTCTTCCTTTCTCTGAAAACCAACAGCTCCTTGTTCACTTTAAAACGTACCTTAAACAAATATCTCATTGTTTCACAGTGTCCAAATGTTAACCATAGTCTTGTAATAAAAATGTAATAGTAAATGGAGTGTACGTGTTATAGGCTACACCCTGTAGGAATATTACTTTATCCTTTGTGAAATTAAGTAATTAAATCTATATTTGTGTTTTATATTGACTTATAATTTTTCTATTGTCAGTTGATGCTTTTTTGTTTGTAACGTTTTGGCAGAAAAATCACTTCATAGTTCTCTATTCCAGTAATGTTTTGATGGGTGTTTTACATTTAATGACCAGAGGGGGGCAGCAAAGCACCAAAGCTGCCCAGACAGCCAGAAACTAAGAGAAGAAGAAGAAGAGGACATAAACATCTTTGCATAACAGTCCTCTGAGCTGGTTCGGAGGGAATTCTGTCGGTCTGGTACCGGTATCTTCCACCATGTCCCTCCTCAGGCAGTGTGTCTCCGCCGGCAGACGGCTCTGGTGTCGAACCGCAGCTTTGGATCCAGTGTTTCCAGGTCGGTTCTGTTGGCTCGTAGGTGGGTCTGGTACCGGTACCGGGTTCTGTTGTGATCGTGTTGTCTTTGTCCAGGTTCGGTCCGGTCAGCCAGCGGGGCTCTGAAGGATCAGGAGCCGCTAAGGAAGCCGAAAACCCCGCAGGGCCGGTTCGATGCTCCGGAGGAGAAGAGCAGAGATGTTCTAGAAAGTAAGGAACCGAACCGAACCTGTCTGCTTGTTTCCATCCTGTAAAGCTGCAGCTATCTTTCTGGTTCCATCAGGTGGACATGAACTCTGATGATCGATAATAAATAGTTAAATTTTTCTATAATCAATGGAAGGACTGGTTTGGACCTGTGTGGTTCTGTTGGTGGTTCTGTTTAACAGAAACCCAACATTCCCTTCATCAGAACCGGAGAGAAGACTTTTGATCCAGAAACGGGGACCTACTGACCAGGAAGCCCATGTTCTGTTCATTGTCTGGACTCGGTACCAGCTCTGAGCTCTTTCTGCATGGATCAGCCTGTGGTTCTGTTGAGCTCCAGTCAGGCTTTAGTTAGGATCGTTTATCGATTCAAGTTAGTTCCCCATTTTACAGACGATATTGCCCAGAAGAACAAAAAACAAAACTAGATTGTTAGTTTGTGGGAGTGGACCTCAACTCACAACCTCAGGATTCCAAGCTCTGTGCCCTGACCTGGAGGTCTTCAACAGGGGGTCCACATAGGGTGACCACCTGCTAATAAGCCCAAGGGGGGACAAGGGGTATGTTTCTGAGGGACAAAGTGGGACACTGCTTGGTGCAGCGGTGCCCCCACCTCACGGGCAGACTCACTGATAGAGGTTTACACATTTCTAGCACATACCACCTTACATGGTATATTAATAATGTCCTATTCCCATAAACATGTGTAATTGCTGATGTATGCTCATGAATAGGCCAACCAATGTGTATTTCTTTCTAAATAAAGATTCATAATACTTTGAACATTCAATGAACAGATGCACTTCCAATTCCGATTTACTTTAGCTATTCAATTTTATTTATTTTTTATTACAATTTATTCACTTTAAATAAATAAATTATAATTTGAAATTAAAGGATTAACAGGAATTGTAGTTGCTCTACACCACAGGAACTTAAAAAAAAAAAAAGGCTTAACTCACGACTCCAGAGGTTCACAGAACGAGAAGGGGGAGGAAGGATGGTGAACTTGGATGTTGGTAAAGGCAGGAACAGCAAAAAAAAAAAAACTGTTCAGTGTTCTGGGGACACCAGAACACTGAACTGGACTTTGGGGTCACCTTTAGGACTCAAACCTTTTCACCAGCATCTGAATAAAATAAGAAAGAAAGATAAGAGACAGAATTAATTTATGATAAGCTTCCAAATGGTTTTCCAGTATAGACAGAGGAGTGCAAACCCATCACCATCACAATACAAAAAGGTGCCAAAATACAATCCTATGCAAAACAATGACATATTTTGACCTAAAAGGCTACTGTTTCCTAAAAGTGACACATCTGCACCCCTGTAGACAGCCCACCAATGTTCAAAATCAATTAAACTGCATCTTAGACAAATGGGGTCTTACATATCTAGGTTTCTTACCTTCAGGTTTCTTCTTGAAGTTGTATTTCTTGTTGGAGCATGCAGCATTGAGGAGAACCTTCTCTTTCACTACATAAGTGTAAAAGTACAATAATGCGCAGTTCCAACTGGTATTTTACTTGAGCGCGCTTTTTTTACGTCACCGCGCGTTCTGGCTGCATTCTTGGAAAATGTTTAGACCGGCCACTGATGATTCAAATCACAAAAAAGTGGTAGAAAGACGTTTAAAAATTGACTTCAAACATTTAATCTCATGAATTTGGGCTTTCACTGCCATCTGTTGTCATATGAGAGTAAGCACAACTTGTCGACCATAAGCTTTTTCATATTTCTTGCATTGATTATGCGTGACACGGTCTCAATTTGCGGGACGAATGAATTGGGCTTCAAACGCTGTGTGCGCATGCGCTACGCAGGACGGGTGGTCACCCTAGGTCCACGGAGATACTGCATGGGGGTCCAGAAAGTTTTAGTTGATTAGACTTTTTATATATTCCTCATGCATTTTTTTGAACTAATTGAAATGTCTTTAAATCCACATTAACATGAAATCAACACACTGTAGTAAACAGATAAATGGAGGCAGAAGATGTTTTTCAGTCATCAATGCACACATTAAGCGACAAACAGGAGCTCTGTCAAGCTGGGCACCATTTCATTCACAACACCTGTCCCATCAACCAGGAATCAGAATCAGAAATACTTTAACAATCCCAGGGGGAAATTACTTTTATTACATTACTCCATCTGTTATAGAATGACTATATGACTAGTTTGATATAACACAATTTAATTGAATATATATAATTAGGGGGTCCCTGCTCCATCTCGCCATCAGTTTGGGGTTCCTTGTTCTGGAAAATGTTGAAGACCCCTGCCCTAACCAATGAATTATCATCCAGTCTCCCAAAAACAGGGCGTACATTCTTCATGTTTTTAGTAAAGGGTGTATGCATTGCTAGCCTAAAGCCTGTGTCCAGTGGAAGCCCAGGTTTTTCTTTTGGAGGCCTCTGGTCCAGAATGTTCCACATCGCTGACTGAAAGACTTCCAGCAGCTGGGGCTTCTGGTCCATCCTGCTCAACTTCCTTACCTGGTTCTGCCAGCGTTTCATCAGCAGGCTGCAGGGCTCAGTTTTCCATCCACTCAACTTTCTCCAGATAGGCTTGTTCTGTGGCTCCCTCTGTCTGTGGAGGACGGATCAAATTTGCTGAACCAATTCAACCAAACTGTTTAAACAATCTATCTGATGATCTCAGAGCCTGAATGTTGGGTTTCAATCCTCTGGGGAAGAGAACCTGTGTGCGGGTTTCTGAGCAGGAGTTGGGGAAGCAGCTGGTGTGAAGGACTGGACATTTACAACTGTGTTTTTTTTTTTCTGCAGAGTTTCCCGACGACGTCAACCCAGTGACCAAGGAAAAAGGCGGACCTCGGGGCCCAGAACCCACCAGATACGGAGACTGGGAGAGGAAGGGCCGCTGCGTGGACTTCTAGCAGCACACCTGCAGCTCCTCCAGAGGAGCAGCTGCTACTTCTTTCTGTTGGATTATTTAATCTGTTTATATTCCGAACAACTAACCCATGAAAATAAAGAATGTTTGTGTCTAATCGCTGTCGGTTCTGGCTCTTTTGATCGCTGTACCCAGAATAAATCCTGCTTAGAAGTTTCCCCAGAGAGACATTAAAGTCCTGGAAGTTCTGCATTCAGTTAAAGGAGGATGAATCAAAATGAGAGACAGCAGAGAATAAACCACTGAATGTTCTCCAGGACCTCCAGCTCCAGTTTATCTCCATCCAACAAGTCTGTTCCTGACAAGCGTGGAAGCTCAGCTGGACCGAATGTTTTGGGCTGATCCCTCCTGTGGGTCACAAGGAGCAGCAGTAATAAAATAACATTTTTCAAGTGAGCAGCTCAGTTTCTTCACCGCTCTTCTGTCCTGTTTCCAAAGCTCCTTCTCTACAGTTTGCTCTTTTAATGTCCTTATTTGCAGAGTATTAACAAAGTCTAAATACTTTACCTTAAATGGCTATCTATACTTTACTGGAGTATAGATATACTTTTTTTTAGACTTTTTACTTTTTCTTACATTAAAAGAAAAACAACTCAGTTTTGTTTCATTTAAGCTCATTTTCATTATGGCCTGTTGGTATTTAAAAAAAAAAACATCAACATGATTAGTTTCATCCAGACAATTTCTTTGTGGTTGTACTCGGTGCTGCCCCAACTTGTTGCTCACCACATACCAAAATAAATCGGTTTTTCAAGATGATGCAAAGTTGAATTTGATGCTGTTACCATTATTTATAAAACTAAAAAAATTAAGTCTAAGGAAGTTATCATCCAGAATTGTAGAGAAATGTTTATTTAATAGGGCAGTGCTGTAAAGCTTCTGTCCTTAACATTTTTGTTTTCCTGCATTACTTTCACTTTTATACTTTAAGGAGTTTTAAAAATGGTACGTTTAGACTTTTACTGGAGTGAAAAGCTGAAGTTGAACCTCTGACTTGTACAAAAGCATTTTAAACAGCAGGATTTATACTCGAGAAATAAAAGTGAATGTTTTGGACACCTCTGATTATTTTGCCAAAGCTACGCAGAAAAGCCCCATAATGTGAGAAAAAGCAGGCCGCTGTTACACATGTGATGCTGGCTCTGCCCACTAGAGGGGAGTAAAGAGGCAGAACTCCCTGAGATTTCTATGATTAAAGGAAAAGAATGATCATATTCAGAATTCAAACTTCTAAAAGTACTTTAAATATGAAATAATTACATAAGTGTTTTTCATTAAGATTAATTTTCATTTGAATGTGCTTTACTGGAGACATCCATGTTTGTCAAGGAACACTGCTGCCACCTACTGGTTTATGATGTCACAGTGCTGTATCGGCTGTTTATCAAGTCCCAGTGCTATATCTGGTGTTTGTCACAACCCGCGTCATCTTGAAAACATTCTTTTTCCAAATGATAACTACATATTAAGTGTTTTTTCTCTGGCCGGAAGTTCGATGGCAAATCCTTCCACTCCCAAGCTGGCAATCCAATGACGAACCTGTCCGTGGAGGATCATGAATCGGAATAGTGATATAGCTCGTTTTTGTTTTGTTTTTTTCACTTTTACTCAATGTATTACAACATCCAACTGCCATGCACGTAGGCATTGTCAGTTTAACTATATCTCTGGTGAATTTACAGTTTATACAGGAATGATTAACTCAATTTAATGCTGTTTTAATGCTCTTAGATGCTCTTAGAAACCACCCATTGACAGGCTGGAAGACAAATTCCTTGTCTTCCAGCCACTTTTGTTGAAATTTGCATTTTCCCATTCTTTATGTTTTTCTCCGCTTTAAGCTTCTTTTCCAAAAACAAAAGGCTTTACAATCAACCGGAAGCAGTTCCACGCAAATTGTATATCGTGATGTTCCTGGTGAAATTGTTTTTGTAAACTTTTTTTTTTTTTTAATAAAGCATTTTAAATGCCCAATAATCACATTTAATGAATTTTAATGCCAATTAAGGCCTTAATTTCAAAAGTAATAATTTAATAACTAATGACCCGCGGAAACCCTGATTTCAACTATGAAGTGCTCTGGAAATCTGAAATAATTGTTGATGCAGATGTGTCTAGTTGTTCCCATTGATATTGCTTGTAAAGCGGGAAGAATGGCGCTAGGCTTACCGCACCATGACGTCACTGCCGGAAGATGTCCGGAGAGCAGTGTTATTATATATGAGTAAAAATGGCCGCTCCAAAACTCGGTGGTCGCAACGAAAATTATTTTTATTTTTTACAGATTAGCACTAAATTCATGAAATCACCACAAACGTATTAGTTTTAGGTATATATAATTGTTAGAAATGCTCCTGCTTGTTATTGGACATTCATATTTCACATTGCTTAATTGTGTTGAGCACTTTTTGTTCTGTTATTTTGAACCTGAGTGGAAGCCTGAATGGAGTGAGAGTGCCACCTGCTGGTGAGCTTTTTCAGCACTTTATAAAACTGCAGAGGTATGTCTTTGTGAGTACTTGCATGTAGCTGATAACGACAGTTTCCTTTGTGGTTTATGTGTGTTATGGACTTATCGTAAGTAATGCTTGTTCATTATATCACACTAGTTTCGTTTGTGTTGCATAATGATACTGAAATTTATTAGACTGTTATTAGCATGCTGCACCGTTATCTTCTTCCTACCAACAAATGCTGTGTACTTAGAGAGTTCTTCCCATTATTTTACTGCGGTTTTGTGTTTTCTTAGTAACTCTTAGTATTTTAGTTCTATGTTCTGTTATTAGTAACAATTTTTACTGGACATGCTCCTGTTAAGCTTCTAACTTGTTTAACCTGTCAGTAAGCCATTCCCATTAGCTACTTGGTAGTTATTAAGCATATGAAGTGAGTTAACAGCAGCAGCTTTCATTGCTGCAAAAGTATTCATCAGGTAAACTGATAAGGTCTATTTCTGTTGTAATTTTAGACCACATCTTCTACAATCTCCACATCTTCATGTATGTACAACTGCTCAAACAGCTCAATAAATACCAAAGGGAAATTCCAACTCCAGTTTTTGTCGTCATCGACACCTAGCTGCGAGTGTAAAGACATCTACCAGTTTTGCATGATTTTATAGAAGCTTCTTTACAATAATGATCCATTTATTATTCCTTGCTGCTTCTCCTTTAATAAATTTCATTTCTAAAAAAACATGTTTAAAGATAAATACCTCTTAACTGGGAAAGGGAAAATTTAGCTATTTATATGTTTACTTATCATTTAATTATTGAATTTGAGATCAGTGAAATTGTATTTATCTATGAGAAAAATGGGAATGATCTGTGTTACATGAGAATGTTGAACCATTCCTTTAAATGCGCACCAGGTAACTTTTTGCCACTGGGGGCGCTAGCCTTATAACTTTCATGTCTAATTCACAACAAGAGCC